AGAGAGAGAAGAGAGAGAGAGAAGTTCACCAGAAAAGAATTTTCGGTGTTATTTTTTATTGAACTGGGAATACAATCGGGTAAAGAATCTTGTATGCCAGAAATAACAGTTCTGATGTGGTCTACAAGCTTCACATCGTCAGAAATCTGATCCACTCAAAGATTGAAGGAATAAATGTAAGTCTGCAAGCTAAATGGACACAAGAAAATGCGGACTGCATCATAGCTTTTGAAAATACATACTTTGTGCAGAGAGCCTATTTTTACAACTCCATGTGGAATGACATCCACAACTACAATGGTCTGCAAGACAGGAAAATCTCACATTAAAAATATTCTGAGATAAACAACCGAGAATTGAGGTACACCAACACTTGGTGCATAGACACTATACAAACATATCTAAATCTCTTTGTTCTTCTAATGTCAACTGGTTAAATTTTATTATTCACCAATGTAAAAGCCTTAGTCAACAAGAAGAGATAAAAACAAACAAGAATGGTATTCACCTGAATGCTAGCTTGAAACTGAGTTTGCCATCCATCAGAATATTGAATAACACAAAATTAATAAATTAGAAAAACGGACAAGATTACTAACACATTGCAGTAAAAAAGAGATCTTTAAAGGTTATACTATACCCAGCTCCACTCATCGTCAACTAAAAACATATCTAGAAATTCAAACAAGCATTTCATATGGGACATCTTATTGTTCTGGTTTAACAACTGAAAAGACTCACACAAAACAGAAAAACCATCGATATATGTCCGTTTCAATCAACCAAAAAAGAACTTTTTGTTAATCAATAAGTCACTTTAAGCCAAAAGGCATGTCTGATTTAACATAATCCAAGTTAACTTAAAAACCTTTCTTTCTGGACTCTAGAGAAACACGTGCTGCAAACAGAGTGGACAAAGAAATTCTTTATAATTCCAGAAATGGAACATTGCAGTACATATACCTCAGATGTGGAGAAAGAATCGAGCTCATCTGAAAATATCCATGAATGCTTTCCAGAAACTGCTACCTTTCCAACAACCCTGCCGGACCAAATGCCAGAAAGATTCTATAAAATACATGAAAAACAAAGAATATCATATGTTTGTGTGTGTGTGCAATACTTGTAATCACATAAATGTGTACAAAAGATCAAACAAATGATACTATCAAATTCTACAACATCCCTCCTGTAAAACATTGTGGATAATATCTTTATGTTGTCCCCATCAATCATTAGCTCACTTATTTAGTTTCAAAATAGATCTAGAGAAAATGAAATAAACCTGGCAAAGCAAACATACAGAGTGCACTAAAGAGTAAACTGGAAATGCCCGATGGTGGTAAATGCCATACCCTTCCCCAAGCGAATATACTTGATAAGACATCTTTGCCACAGCTAATCCAAGAAGATCATGTGAGTAAGAACCCTCAATCGAGCTTCCTGCTGCATGACTGAACCACTTCTTTTCAGATTGATTCCCATCATAATAAGCATCATCCCAAGTTAACATCCTGCAAGAAATTTGCAAACATAAAATCCATTTTCATAATACTACCAAACCAGATTCTTTGATCAACCACTATGTCAAAAACATACATTATATTTATTTCGAGCGCATTTTCTGACTAAACGCTTCATGATTTTGTAATTTCAAATCCAAAAGCTTTAAAAGGAAGTTCAGGAAGGCATAAAGCCTCCGATCTTTTCTTTTATGCGCTTGAAATATCTACTAGGCAGTAGGCACCCCAATTTTGCTACTTCAGAATATGTTCAAACCTAAATAATCTTTTGTTATTTGTATCATTAGAACTTACATGAAATTCCCATACAAGTAACTATGTAATTCCACGGTATGGCTAAATCTTGAATGCTAAATTTGTAAAAAGTAAAGGGACTCACATCCTTGTTCGATGCCTGAGCTTCTAGAAAACTGCATATTTCCAACCACAGTTGAAACAAAAGCTCCTCAGCGCTTGCTGCAATCGACTCCCCATCTTTTTTTTCCCCCCAACGAGCAAAGTCCTAACAATAACACCCCAATCTAATTTATTAAAAACAAAACACCCCACAAAAGATACAAAAAATCAACCCCTGCAGTGAAAATCCAAATCCTAGCTCCCTCTGTAAGATCTTCTTCCAGCTTGTTTCCTTCTCAATTTCCTCTTTATGGGAGGTCCCACGGTCGGCAGCAATGTCCTGTCCTCTATCCCCATCTTCTATCCTCACACTACAATAGGAACCCTAATTCACCGATCAAGCTAAAAATAAAAAACCTTCCCTCGATTAACTCACTAAATTGCAATAAAGACCAGCCAACACAACTGTGAGATCTTCAAACTAAAACCACTCCTCAAACAAATTCCCAAATCCACCACAGTAACTTCCATCAACTGCTAACTAGGTTTAACAGAAATCCGTTAAACACAACACACAACTAATGATAAAACTTCAACAACAATAAATTTGAAGAGGGAACCCAAAAAAAAAAAAACCCCACTTTGCAGATAACAACAGTAGCTGTTTATCGTATATCAAATGACATTAAGGACTCCATTGACAGCTTCTTCGTGCTGTATATGAGCGACTTTCGTAGATTTCAGCTGAAGCAAAGAAACCCAGAAGAAAATTATGATAAAAAAGGAAAGAAACGGGGCGAAAGAGATTGTTCTTGCGCTTCTTCTAACAGTAAACCGCCTCCGAAGAGTATCTTCGCCGCTCTGCTAAGTTTGCCGCCATTGGTGAAAAAAATTTAAAACTCTGAAAAAAGCCCAAAAAGCACTCAACGACTACTGAAGAGAGGTGAAAATGGTTCTAGGGATAATGAGGTTTTAAACTCAGCTCAAATGCTCATCAATGTCTGTTTCTTCTCCATTTTTTTCCAACTAAATAGATCGCCTCTTTTTATACAGAAAAAGGACAGTTTTTTTCTTGTCGAATTACGGTGTCGTTTTCGTGGTATACGACATAATGCGCCCATTACGCAACGTCCCATTTTGGCCCTTCCGCCGCATAAACAAAAATGTCTTTTATGCCCCTACCCTTGTTTAATGTTTTTATTAATTTTTTAGGGACTGTTTAGAATATTTTATTATTTGTTTATTTTTATTAAATTGTTTCATTTATTTGTTTGTTTTTACTATTAGTTTTTTTTTTCTTTTTTCTTTTTACTTTTTGCATGTTTACTACTATTATGACTTAAATTCAATTTTGGCCCAATGCTTGATTAATATGTATGGGCATCAAAAATCAAAAAAGACACTTAAATTACAATTGTCAACATGTAAAGAGACTGCTTACCTCTATTTTCATTTATGATTTCATGTTATGACTTTTTTTTTACCCAGCCACGGTATTCAGAGTGTTGTCCTGACTAATCCGGTGGTCGACTCGGGTCGTACACTTGACACTGGTGGGTGAGTCTCCCAACAAGGGTTTTCTGCATTCACAAGGATTCAAACCAGAGACCTTGCTTAAGCGACATCAAGCTGCTTACCACTTGAGCCAACCTCTGTTTGGTTGTAATAGATTGTTATGACTTCTTTTAACATAAAGGTGTGTTAGTCTCTTGGCAATGCTACAATATATAATCTTTTTAAACCACAATAGTCCAATTTGACAATGGGCGTTACTATTTACCGCCCCCCTTATTACTAGTCACCGCCCCCCTTGGACGATTTTGCCCTTTTCATTTCTCACTTTCGCAAGATGTCTAGCAGTTCAGAGGTAAAAAAAAAAAAAAAATTTGTCCGGCCACAATTTTCGCACGGCACCGGCGGTGTCCGGCCGACCGGACCGGACATTCACAAAGCCGTCCGGCCGGTTCGACCGGACACGACCCTGTCCGTGCGAAAATTATGGCCGTACGGACCGGTCGTTGTACTAACCGACCGGTCGTACGACCTACTTGGTGTCCGGCCCCGACGGCCGGTTTTGTCCCGGTCCGGCCGGTCCGACCGGCCGGACACCATTTTTTTTTATTTTTTTTATTTTCTTTTTTTTTTATTATTAATTTTAAATGCTTTAAAATTATTAAATACATTGCAGGTGTCTTTAGAAGATTTTGGAGGAGATGATGTTGATTACCGTTCCGCTTTCGATACAACTACGCTGTTTATTAGTGATGTGGAAGCTATTAAGGATGCAAAAAATACGGCAATTCTGAATGGTTTCTTTTTAACTATTTCGAAACACAAAAAACCCGGAAGGCTTAAGATCTTGAAGTGCCATCGAGGCGAACGTTATAGAGGCAAAAACGTAGATATGAA